AAATGTGTAGAAGAGGGCCTGGCGCGGTGGCTCACGCCTGTAATCCCAGCACTGTGGGAGGCCGAGGTGGGTGGATCACGAGGTCAGGAGGTCAAGACCAGCATGGCCAACATGGTGAAACCCCATCTCTACTAAAAATACAAAAATTAGCTGGACATGGTGGCGCGTGCCTGTAATCCCAGCTACTCGGGAGGCTTAGGCAGGAGAATTGCTTGAACCCGGGAGGTAGAGCTTGCAATGAGCCAAGACCGCACCACTGCACTCCAGCCTGGCGACAGAGCGAGACTCTGTCTCAAAAAAAAAAAAAAAGGTGTAGAAGGACTGTCTTCTGCTTCAGATCATGAACTGTAGGAACAAAATAGATATGTGTAAAAATGCTGCTCTTTTTCTGAACCAAAATAAAATTAGATTTTTGTTGTTGTTGGAAAAGGTAGTAGATTTCAGGAGAAATCAGAAAATAAATTATTTCAGAAACACAACAAAACTAAGTACAATGTTAAGAAAATTATGTTTAGAAATTGTGATTCTATCACTTTATGAAACAGAATCTTTAGTAATTTTTCAACTTATACCAAGGATATTCTTTTATTTCTTAATGACTAGTTTGAAATATGTAACTATTCTCTCTGTACTGATTTTTAATTAGTGCTCATAAAGGCTATTGATAGAACTCATTCTTTCTCCAAAATAGAGTTAACCCAAAATCAGTAAAGATTCAGAAGATTCATTGTAGTAAAAATTCTAGTCATGAAGGCCAAACACCCATGAATTTCAGCCTTTGTAGAAGAATCCATTAATGCAGCATTACAAGTAAGTACATTTTAGTGGCTCCTTAGTTATTTTAAGCAGGAGGCCTCCTTAAAGGGCACACAGATAAAGTCAACATAGATCTCCACTGACCCCAGGCGTGTGGCCAGAGGTCAACTCCCAACGGCTGTCTGGACTCCCTTTTCCCTGCAGTGCTGTATTGACTCTTGTCTCGGGGGTGACAATCCTTTGATAACAGTCTTTTTATTGGGAGAAAATTTGTGGGAATGCATAAGGTCTTGCTAACATAATTCCATATTATGCTTGCTCAACAGGAGAAGTTTTAGTTTAAACGTAGACTTATTGGAGATGGCTGTGTATCCACAGGTCAGGGAGTCTCGCGTCTGCAGATTCTTTGTGGTTTCTCGTCTGTTGTCGCTTATCCCAAATAAGTAGCTGCGCTTCTTGGAAGAGATGATTGCGTCACTGGAAGGGGTCATGGGAGTCTTCTGATTGAACTCATTTTCCTCCCATCTGAAAGAAAGAAAAGTTGAAAACAAGAGGAAAGACATTTCACACTTCCTGGCATGTAATATCTCGGCCAGTTTTTGTTTGTTTCTTTTTTGAGACAGATTCTCGCTCTGTTGCCCAGGCTGGAGTGCATTGGTGCACTCTCGACTCACTGCAACCTCTGCCTCCCAAGTGAGTTCAAACGATTCTCCTTCCTCGGCCTCTCAAGTAGCTAAAACAACAGGTGCTCATTACCATACCCAGCTAATTTTTTTTGGTATTTTTAGAAGAGACAGAGTTTCGCCATATTGGCCAGGCTGACTTCAAGTGATCTGCCCACCTCGGCCTCCCAAAATGCTGGGATTACAGGCGTGAGCCACTGCTCCCAGCCTGGCCAGGTTTAGATCCTGGTTTTGTGACAGAATCAGAATGACTAGAAGATTCACGTTCTGATCCACTGCAGCTAACAAATACAGCTCCAGTTACTGCGCGAATCCTGCACTGCCTTTCATCAGCAGATAGTTAAAGGCGGAGAATTGGGTTTTGTTGTTTGTAAAGATAGTGCGTGTAAACAAGCATGCAGTAAATTATGTTATCTGCAGTAGAATCTTCCATTGGTAGCTTTGGTCAGATGGACCCAGATACACCGCCTTCAGAGTTCTTCTTGTTTTGTCACCGTGAGCAGAGATTTCTATTTACACTGCCTCATCCGTACTGAAGTCTCAGAAGCTGCAACAGCCATAGAGTCCAGTGACATCCTTACCAGTAAGATGCCTTTGACCTAGAGAGTGCATTTCAGGGGTGGGACAGCATCCCTGTGGCTAAATATGATTATTCTTTTCTTTCTCTTAAACTATAAAATGCTTGTTCTTTTTCAAATCCATAGCTACGCACAGATTATAGAGGCATCTTAAAAAGCCTTCTATAGCTGGGTGCAGTGGCTCACGCCTGTAATCCCAGCGCTTTGGGAGGCTGAGGCGGGTGGATCACTTGAGGTCAGGAGTTTGAGACCAGCCTGGCCAACATGGTGAAACCCCGTCTCTACCAAAAACACAGCAAATTAACCAGGCGTGGTGGCGGGTGCCTATAATTTCAGCTACTCTGGAGGCTGAGGCAGGAGAATCGCTTGAACCCAGGAGGTGGAGATTGCAGTGAGCCAAGATCGTGCCACTGCACTCCACCCTGGGTGAGAGTGAGACTCTGTCTCAAAAATAAAAAAATAAAAATAAAAATAAAACCTTCTATAAAAGCCATAAGATGCCCGCAAATGCCATCTCAAAATGCGATTAGGCAGGGAAATTACCTGGTATGAGTTGTAACCTAGGCAGCTGGAAAAAAATATGTGTCCACCAGTTACCCTTGTGTTTGATGTTTCAATCTGTAGAACAGTAAGTGTGGTTTTCTTTCTGGGGTCTCCCCCATTATATGCACTCACTGGAGTAACCAGAGAAAAATGTTACCCTCCTGCTGGGAACTTTAACGTCAGAGGCTATGATACCCATCTTCATACCTAAAGTTTTAACATATAGCAAGTCCCCACCTACAAGCAGGTCTTGTGTCAAAAGTGTGGTTGTAGTTCATTGTTTGGAACCCAGAATGGATTTTCCCATGGGCGTGTTATGAATGGCAGCTGTATTCCAGGCAGCTGCGGAAGCCTTTTGAGCCCATTTATATACCTGAAGTGCAGTCCTGTGCAATTAGCAAGACAAGAACCAGCCATCATCCATCACAATGTTTTATGTGGTCTCCCAGCCTCCTCCCCCCGCCGTCCCACTCTTAGCCGGCCCAGCCAGGCAGGGAAGGGGGTGTTAATGAGGCCTGCAGGTGCACAGATTTGCTCTCCACCTGCTGCATCTGCAGGGGTTAAGCAAGCTTTCCTCTCCTCTTCCCCCTCACCATTCCTCCTCTCCCCCTCCTTACCCCCAGTTTCCCTTTCCCTGTGCTGAAGGGGCTGGGCAGTGAAGTGAGGAAGGGCGGCTGGAGCTGTTGGGGGCTGAGGCCACATTGTGCAGTTCACATCAGAACCCCCTGGCGACTTGCTCCAGTTGCAGATTCAAATGCAGCAGGTCTGGGGTGGGCTCTGAAATTCCAAATATCTAACAGGCTCCCAGGTAATGCCCATGCACAGGCCCACAGGACCCATCTGAGTAACAGGAGTCTCTAAACACCATGCGGGGAGGAGAGGCTGGTGAAGAGGGAAACCTCGAGTCACGACTGAAAGGCAGTGGAGGGTGAGAGCTGAGTTCTATTCTCTAGGCCTTAGGGAAGTCCCTTTTACACTGAGAACTTTTTGCCATGTGGGAAGAAGCAGGCAAACCCTGGATGCCATCAGGTGCTGGCACATCGCAGCCTCATCTCATCCAAGGCGGTCTTGGCCAGGGCATGTGGAGGTTCTATATGACATGGCATTAACCCTCAGGAGAGCAGGCACAGTAGAACCCGAGTGTCTCCTCCAAGCAACTGGGTGCAGCATTGCCCCATGCGACTGGGTGCAGCATTGCCCCGTGCGACTGGGTGCAGCATTGCCCCGTGCAACTGGGTGTAGCATTGCCCCGTGCGACTGGGTGCAGCATTGCTCCATGGGCATCATTTGTATGAGACACTCACTATTAAAGCACAGTAGGAAATGCTGAAATGGAAACGGAACGGGTCATCTGGGAGCCCCAGAATCTAGACCTTGGAGCAGTGTTTCAGGGCCTGAGGATCCGTCGGGGGGCCAGCGTCAGAGGCCCCAGCACACACAGGGCTTCTGATCCAGGAGGAGAGTGTGCGGTTTGAAGATCTTTCATCCCAACACAGCAAAGCGGTGAAGAACCAGTTTTCATCCTGTCTCCACCACTAACTAGCCGTGTGTCCTTGAGCTCATACCCTCATGCCTAAATGTCCTGTGTCCTCATCTGTAAAGTAAGGCTAAAATGAGTACCTACCTCATTAGGGTGCTGGGAAGCTCAATAAGATCTTTTCTGTAAAACCCTTAGACTGTCCATCAAGTGTCACAAAAGCAGTAGTAGGGGTGGCCGTGGCAGTATGGTAGGGGTGAAATGAGTAATTTGAGAGTATAGGCCTACTAAAGTCAAATTTCTGGTGTTGCAACTTATTACTAGTGTGACCCGGGGCAAGTGACTTAGCCTCTCCAAACCTCAGTTTCTTCGCTTGTGAAATGGAAATAATAAAAGTTCCTACCTCCTACATTATTGAGAGGATAAAATGAGGAAAGCATGCAGCACAGTGCCCGTCAACAAAGCAAGCTCTCAGTGCATACCAGTTACTGTACTGAGGGAGACTGCGGTGACGACTGGCATCTGAACAGGAGTTTTCCAGCTGTGCTCCAGGAGCTGTAGGTTTTACAAAAATGTGCCTTGGGGGTGAGAAGGAGACCATTATTCACCCTGCCCACAGCCGCTGCCCCCTTCAACCTAATGGGCTTGTCTTTGTTGGGGTTCAGCATGAAGATTTTATTGAGAAGAAAAGGTTTGGAAGATCACTGTTTTGTAGTTCGGGTGTGTTGTGGGGCCACAGGGAAGATAAATGGTCTCAATTTTCAGGAAGTTGACATTTGCCTTTTCTATTTCATTTCCTTAAACAAAAATTGAAATATCAGATGACAAATTTAAAGAGATACATGCATATAAAACCTAAAGTTCTATGAGGCTGTACTGAATGATAGAGTTCATTTGCGTCATCAGATGCTGTGGCCACTTTATAGCATTTGCTAATCTCTAACACTTGTTTTTCTCCCCCAGATGAGCACCATGCCAGGACTGCCCACCCGGCCCTGCTTTTATGACATAGATCTTGATACCGAAACAGAACAAGTTAAAGGCTTGTTCTAAGTGGACAAGGCTCTCACAGGACCCGATGCAGGTAGGCTGATGTGCTTCAACCTTTTCTCTCTTTGTTTTTTTCCAGTTCGAATCCTTTTTTTGTCATACTTGTTTTTCTGATACCACAGAAGTGATCTGATAAATCCTTTCGTTCCTTGGTTACTCAAATTCCTACCAAATGACTTTCCATGACTGGAGTTCACTCCTGGGTGTGGATGTGAATGAGATGCTCAGATGCTCAGTACCCAGCCCTTAGTGTACCTGTGCGTGAGTCCAGTGATAGCCAAATTATGTCATCCCTGAATATAGGTATGTTTAGAGCATCTCTGACCATAACAGAACTCTGTAAACTCATTATTCTTTTCCAGGATTAAAACCAGCATCTGTTGTAATTTTAAAAGAGTAACTTCCTACCTTCCTGCCACGTATCTCTTGGTACAGAGTTAGAATCCTGTGAAAGAGGAATCTTGGTGTATCCGTTTCCTGGGGCTGCCATGACAAAGTATCACAAACTGGGTGGCTTAAAACAGGCTTAAAACAGGAAAGTCTGAAACAGTTCTGGAGGCTAGAAGTCCAAAGTCAAGGTGTCAGCCAGGCCATACGCCCCCACCCACCCGATACTCTGGCGGAATCCTTACTGGCCTCTTCCTAGCATCCGGTGGTGGCTGTCACAACCTGGCATTCCCACCTTGCAGCTGCGTCACGCCCGTCTCAGCCTCTGTGGTCCCACTGCCTTCTCCCTGTGTCTGTCTCACATGCTGTTCACCCTTGTAAGGACCCCAGTCCTATTGGATTATGTAGGGCCCACCCTAAGAACCTCCTTTTAACTTGATTACTCTGCAAAGACCCTCCCTCCAAATCAGATCACTCTCACAGGTGCTCAGGGTTAGGACTTAAGCATATCTTTTAGGGGACACAGTTCAACCCAGAACACTCAACCGTGGCACAACAGGTGTGTTCGGCTCTCATGTCCCTGGACAGACACACAGCAATAGGACAGACCATTTCACTAGAGGGCCCCATGGGTCCCAGGAAGGACAGGGCAGCAGAAAGTAGGCCACTTGATGACTTCCGGTCTGCACAGTCTCAGGTTGGGCTTTGAGTTTGAGCTGTCTTAGGCAGCCCAGACCTGGGAACTCTCCGTCTTATTCATGTCCACCCCACAGCACTGCAGCCATACCTGCTGGCTTCTGTCCTGACTCCCCATTGGGAAGAAAAATGACCACATTCCTAAACCTCCTCCCTGGGGGACAACTTCTAATCAGAAGTTTGAAAGACTGAGGGCTGCTTCTCCTACCCCAGGGATCAAACATGTCCTCACCATATTCTAAAGACACATTCCTTCCCCGCAAGCACCCCGCCTCCTTCTCCCCACTGACTCCTGTTCCTGAGCCCAGAACCTCTCCCTCTTGCCAGCATATTCTCAGCCTTTGCAGATGAGCTTCCATGACCTAAAGACCCTCTTCTTCAACCACCTCTGAGTTACAGCTGCAAGCCAGGCATCCAGGATTCTCATTTCATTTGTTTCACTACCAGTAGTCCACCTGAGGACTTGTTGTTGTTGTTGCTTTTTGAGACAGTGTCTTGCTGTGTCACCCAGGCTGGAGTTCAGCGGTGTGATCCCGGCTCACTGCAACCTCCGCCTCCCAGGTTCAAGCGATTCTCTTGCCTCACCCTCCCCAGTAACTGGGATTACAGGTGTGTGCCACCACACCCTGCTAATTTTTGTATTCTATTTGTTTATTTTTTATTTTATTTTATTTTATTTTATTTTTTGAGACAGAGTCTCACTCTGTCACCAAGGCTGGAGTATAGCGGCACCATGTCAGCTCACTGCAACCTCTGTCTCCTGGGTTCAAGCAATTCTGCCTCAGCCTCCCAAGCAGTTGGGATTACAGGCACCCACCAGCACCCCCAGCTAGTTTTTATATTTTTAGTAGAGAAGGAGTTTCACCATGTTGGCCAGGCTGGTCTCAAACTCCTGACCTCAGGTGATCCACCCACCTCGGCCTCCCAAAGTGCTGGGATTACAGGCGGGAGCCAGCGTGCCCGGCCTAATAGAGATGGGGTTTCACCATGTTGGCCAGGCTGGTCTCAAACTCCTGACCTCAAGTGAGCCACCTCCTCTGGCCAAGTTTTTTTGTTAAGTCTTTGTTGCTAAAACACTAAAGACCTAGGCTATGGTGAGAAAGATAAGGGACCCATAAATGAATATACATTAAAACACGGTGTGAAATTGTTTGTTTTGGGTTGTGGATGTTGTTTGGGTAGTGTTTGTATGTGGTTTTTGCTGAGAAGCAGGAGCTGTGTTAAGTTGGAGCCATAACTGCATCTTTTATCTTTGTTATTTCAGAAAAAAAAAACTCTAGAAAATGAAGTAAGGGAGACTAGTTTAACAAAGAAACCCATAAACTCAAGCATTGATAAAATGTTGTTTGTCTTTTGGTGTGAGTTTGTGTGTAGCGAATGTCTTGCATTCCCCAGTAAGGCCGTGGGGAAATATTGCTATGTCCCCAATTGCTAGTTGGCCTAGCAATACCAACTAATCTCTCTTTTTATGTCAGGAACCCATTATGTTACATTTCTGCTGTTTGTCATTTTTCTCCAGAATAAGTGTGTTCAATTCTCCTATCTGTCTTGGACAGTATTTTTCCAGTTTTTTGGTGAGTTTTCACATGCTCTCCAAGTAGGTCACGTAAGTCCAGTTATACCTTAATCATTGTAGTTAGGACTCAGGTAATGCGAAGGGACACATCCTTAGCTTTACTGATGCATACCCTTAAATCCTTTATTACCTACTCCCTAACAAGAGTTCCTCCAGATCTTATAGACGGGGCCTGCAGGGCAGGACAGGGGCCTGTGGTAATTACCTCCGATGCATTGGGCATTGTGCTAAGCACTTTGCAGGGGTGGTCACAGCACCTCTGCAGCCAAGTGTTGTCCCATAAGGCCACAAGGCTTCAAGAGGACCAAGCCTACCCCTTGGTCACTGAGGGGTGGCCCTGGTCTGCAAGGCTACAGAGCTGCCTTGCCACCCTGTGGCACTGCCTCTCGTTTCGTAGCTGGCACACGTCATTTTGCCAGCCTCATCACATGTCCTGCCGGCATCAACCCAGGGAGGTGGGTAGTGTTTTTGTTTAAGAGCTGCAAGAACTCTGCCCAGAGCAGTCGACAACCTGCTCAAGTTGTGCAGCTAGTGACTCCAAAAGCCAAGACTCAACTCCCATCTGTTGACTCTCGATATTACCCCAACCTTTATGCCCCAAACCGAAAGATGCCCTTTTCATTTCAGTCACGGGCAAAATGAACTTTGGCCCATTCCAAAAGATGATATCAGCTATTTGAACAGACAGGTATTTGAGGATAATGGGGTAATTTTTTTTTTAATAAGTAAAGATGATTGTTTGGGTATTAAAAGCTATGATTTTGTCATAACTCTTTTTAGTCCAAGTATAATAGAGCCAGCTCTTTCCTAATTCTCTAATGGAATGGCATTTCCACCCCCTACCCACCCCCCAATCCAAGGCCTCCTTCTTCTTTGTGAATTGCTAAATACTGTTCTAGGCTAAGTGGGCAGTGGTTCAAAACCCATCGTTTGACCTTGCTGGAACAATCAAAAACAGATCCAGTGTCCTAAGATAAAACCACCATACAAAGCAAATGTTCCCTCTCAGTGGCTCCTCAGTAATGACCCAGCAAGCATTGTCTGTTTCCTGTGCCTCTCACTGTAGCCATCAGGGACCACTTCTACTAATAATCAGAGGTCTGTGGCTGTTCAAAATGCATAAGATAAAAATGTTAAAGCTCGGACAAACGTGGGCATCCGAAAGGAAATGTCTGGCTTGCTGACTTTGCTCCTTCAGGGATCACACCGTAGATGACATGGATACCCAGGTACTGAGCAGCACACTCATTATTCCCCCAGGAAGGTGTTGAAGGCGCCTCCCACTCGGGAAGAAGATTGCGCTTGGTTGATGACAACTTTCTGTCCTTCCCTTCCTCACCTTTCTAGCCTGTTTCACCTCCTAGGAAACCGTGGGAAACCAAAGGTGAACGTTATATGCCAAAAAAGCACCAGAATTTGAGCTCTCCTTGCTCCCTCTTCCCAAGACTTCTCTGTAGTCCCTTCACTATTGTTAGAATAAGGGCATGACTCATTCTTTTGGATGTAACTAAATAGAACTAATTAAAATAAGTTGTTTGTCCCAGTGAAATTGATCCGGCTGTTGAGTCTTTTGTTTAAAGATTATTGGAACGAAGGATTTGATATTTTTTTCCCCCATTCTGTTTTCTCATTCCGAAACTTTATCATATTTCTGAACTTTGGCAAGATTCATTCAAATGAACACACAATAAAGTCTGGCAAATTTCCTAAAGAATTCAGGGACTCCCTTCTTTATTCCGCTCTGAAAAGTTATGTTGAGTACGGAATCAGATTTACTCCAGTCCTGCTATAAATGTTTGTTATTTACAAAAGAATTGCTTTTTCTTGAATTACACATGCAGAAATAAGTTCAGGAAAGAAACTCATTTCTTTCCTAAACTGGCTTATGGCATCAACAGACAAATGGTTAAAGAGAATGTGGTATGTATAGACAGTGGAATACTATTTAGCCATTAAAAAGAATGAAATAATGTCATTTACAGAAGCGTGGATGGAAGTAGAGGTTATTATGAGAAATAAACTGGGCACAGAAAGACAAGTGCTGCATGTTCTAACTCTCATGTGGAAGCTAAAAAGCTTAGCCTCATAGACAGAATAAATGGTAGATGCCAGAGGCTGGGAAGGATGGGTGGCTGGGAGGAGGGTATGAAGAGAGGTTGGTTTTGGGTACAAACATACAGTTAGACAGAAGAAAGAAGCTCTAATGTTTGATCGCAATCTAGGATGACTATACTCAGCAACAATATTTTGTATACTTCAAAGTAACAGGAAGAGAGTACTTGAAATGATACCAACATACAGTAATGATAAATATTCAAGATAATGGACACCCCAGTTACCCTGACTTGATCACTACACATTCTAGGCATGTAATAAACACTCCCATATACCCCATAAGAATATAAAATATTAGGCCGGGTGTGGTGGCTCATGCCAGTAATTCCAGCAATTTGGGAGGCCAAGGTGGGTGGATCACTTGAGCCCAGGAGTTTGAGACCAGCCTGGGAAACAATGGCGAAACCCTGTCTCTACTAAAAATAGAAAAATTAGCCAGGCGTGGTGGTGCACACCTGTAATCTCAGCTACTCGGGAGACTGAGGCAGGAGAATCGCTTGAACCCAGGAGGTGGAGGCTGCAGTGAGCTGAGATCATGCCACTGCACTCTAGCCTGGGTGACAGAGCAAGACTCGGTCTCAAAAATGTATATAATGTATCAATACAAGGGAAAAATGGGCAGAAATTTTCAATGATATTTAATAACCATAAATTAATCTTGAGTTGGGTTGCTGCCTGCCAGCCCTTCTGTGAACATGATTTGTTCAGTCGCAAGTCACAAACCACAGGGTTACAAAGTGCCCTGGGAGGGCACCTGAGCTCTGTAGTTTTAGTCTTGAAACTTTATCTTTTCACAGAGCAATTCAAAAATTGCTCATCACCATTGTGTTCCGAGAAAAGAGGTGCCAATGTATCACCCTGAGCCATCCAAGGAGTGCTGTGTGCCCTCTTCCTTTCCGCTTCCAGGCGGGGGCCAAGTAGGATGGAAGCTCCAGCTTTATACTTAAATAATCCTCATCAACATCTAAAAGATAGTGATAATTAAATCTCTCCTATGTTGCTAAATTAAATCTCTCCTATCTAACTAAAATGGAATGTTTTAAAGCTTAGGTAACAATTGTGAAATTCTTAATTCCCCTTAAAAACATTTTTTTCTTAGCACATTTTGATTTCTTCTTCCCATGCCAAAATAGAATGTTTCATATATGGTATCTTCCAAAATATTTTCCCACTGAGTTAACTTCTGAAATTGCTTCTTCCAATGAGGAGCAATAAACAACAGATTCGTTTTCACATTCTCACCTTAGCTATTGCATCTCTGATTGTTTTCATCTGTAATGAGACTTTCTATACTTTGGCCAGTCCTTCTGTTTTTCTTAAAATGTGGGACCACAGGCCGGGCACGGTAATCCTGTAATCACATCTGTAATCCTAGCAATTTGGGAGGCCGAGGCAGGCGAATCACCTGAGATCAGGAGTTCAAGACCAGCCTGGCCAACATGGCAAAACCCCATCTCTACTGAAATTACAAAAATTAGTCGGGCATGGTGGCAGGTACCTGTAATCCCAGCTACTTGGGAAGCTGAACCCCGAGAATTGCTTGAACCCAGGAGGCGAAGGTTGCAGTGAGCTGATATTGCGTCGCTCCATTCTAGCGAGGGCGACAGACCAAGACTCCATCTCAAAAAAAAATAAAGTCAGACCACAAACTCTAAGCCCCTTTAGACACAAAATCACGGGATACAAATGTAATGTGGCTAATCAGCTGGTCCTCCACCACCCATCTCCGGAGCATGGAAGGCCTTGTCCAGCCTTGCCTTGCCAAGCAAAGGGTCATCTCTACCCTAGCACGCCTGCTGTCCCAAGAGTCATTGACCCTCAGGTCAAGGGATACCAGAGCCACTACAGTGAGGCTGGCCGTGTCTCTGAAATATTTTCTTTTTGTTCATCTTTGTTGTGCTTATAATACTCCTGTTTTCTGTTTATTCCCCTCACTTGAATCAGATGTTAGGGGAGTATTTGAAGCTCCTCGTTCCCTCTCTTCATCAATATCTTCTGTCTAGAAACTAATCAAGCACCCTATCTGGCTCCAAACCGCTCAGTTATCTCTGGGAGGCCAACTCACAGGATTTCAGCAGAGTTGCACTTTCTTGGCCTAAAAGATTAAGTCCTTCCATGTATAAACTCAGATTAAAGGCAACATATTGCATTTACATTTTAGAGGGGTGAACACATTTTTTTCTGGGACTTAAGTGTTGTTTTGTGTCTTCGTTTTTGTTTTTGCTTTTGTTTTTAACGTCGTTTGATTTATTTCTCTTTCTAAGAGATTACAGGATTCAAGAATGGCAACGAATCTTAATAGCCTTTGAGAGAAAGCAGCAAAACTTTAGTACTAATTTCCAGGACCATGAACTTCCATGCTGTCCTAAATGGTATTTTTCAGACATTGCTTTCTGTGCCTACTCGATAAAACCCAAAATCCAAGGTAACAGGATTCCTTATCTAAAATCCTAAACAAGGCTGGGCATGGTGGTTCACACCTGTAATCCCAGCACTTTGGGAGGCCGAGGCAGGTGAATCACTTGAGCCCAGGAGTTCAAGACCAGCCTGGCCAACATGGTGAAACCTCGTCTTTACTAAAAATACAAAAGTTAGCTGGGCATAGTGGTGCACACTTGTAATCCCAGCTACTCAGGAGGCTGTGGCAGGAGGATTGCTTGAACCCAGGAGATGGAGCTTGCAGTGAGCCAAGATCTCGCCACTACACTCCAGCCTGGGTGACAAAGTGAGACTCTGTCTCAAAAAATTTAAAAAAAAAAAAAAAAATCCTAAATATTCTCATTCCACAGGATCCTACAAACTTGGAAGTTCTGGGAATTCTGCCAGTATCCCCAAGTAAATCTCTTGGGAAGTTTAGAATGCTGCATGGCGTAGCTGTGCCTGCCCTTCCAGAGTGGTGCAGACTGATTCTCCACGTCTGCTAAGTCAAATATTCCAAACACAGATCAGCCTTATCTAGTGAACAGAACCATCGCTCTGCTCTTGAATTTTCTTTTGGCCTCAAACTTTAGAACTATAACGTGTTAACGGTTTAACACCAGAGGAGAAAGCTATTCTTAAACTACTCAAACATGGTTTTTTTTTCTATTTTTCAGACTCCTGAAACAGACTACTCTTTGCCTTTTTGCTGCAGTTGGAGAAGAAACTGAATTTGAAAAATGTCTGTTATGCAATGCTGGAGACACAGTGAAATAGGCCAAAGATTTCTTCTTGGTTCAAGATGAATTCTGTTCGCAGCGGAGTGTGGCATTCAGCAAAAGGACCTCCACCAAGACTGAAAGAAACTAATTTATTTCTGTTTCTGTAGAGTTTACATTATTTCTACTGCTTACACTTTAGAATGTTTATTTTATGGGGACTAAGGGATTAAAGGAGTGTGAACTAAAAGGTAACATTTTCCACTCTCAAGTTTTCTACTTTGTCTTTGAACTGAAAATAAACATGGATCTAGAAAAGCAACCAGCAAGTTTTCAGTGCCAGATAAAACTCTCTGCCCTCTAGAGGTAACTCCTCATGGGAGGCAGCTGGGAGTGTTACCTGACACTGATTTCCTAGAAAACTGGGAAGGCAACCAAGCTTCTTAAACGTGACAAGAAAAGCAATAGTACGCATCGAGAAATAGCTAATCAATCGGGAAATCTGACTGTCAGGGATCTCTTGTAATATCTCTTGGAATGAAGTGCGCTGTGTATCCAATGCTATTTTCCAGCGCCAGTGAAGTTGCTATTTCTTACCTAAAACAAATGGGTTTATGCTAGTTTCTTCCACCAAGGAATGAGTCTCAATGGCCATTAAACTTTCTAAGGCCCACAGGGCTAGAAAAAGTCGCTCTTAAAGGTCAGGTGTTTGGAAAATGTTTTTCCTTTTGCCCAACCCTTAATTAATGGTAGAGAATGTTCTGTGGCCTATTCCCCTCACTGGGAGTTCCTGACCCTTTTTTGTTTTCCAATTTTCCTACAATAATATAAAATTACGTAAAAGTTAAAACAAAACCAAGGATTCAGGAAGAAACAAGCAGTGATTGTCCTCTAGGCAGCCTAAAGAAAATAGTCACCATAAATATCTTAGATGTCCTCCAGGCATATCCTGCAGGATCTTTCCTGCGTCCTCTCGTCCTACACCCTCCAGTGACCCTGCCCAGCCATTGCTCAGCCCATAATGCATCTTTATGCACAATTTGTCCCAAAACACTGTTTAGGAACTCAAAAGCCTCCCACTCAAAAGCTGTCCGTCCCAAGAATAATTTCACTTGGCAATTCTGAAGTGTCCTTCCCCATCCCTGCCCTTTATTTGGGAGTACACCTGTCCAAATATACAGTAAAACACCAGTTAACTGTATATTTGGAGAGGTATACTCCCAAATCAAGGGCATATCCCTCTCCCTTTACAGTAAATTTGTAAACCCTTTATAATCTTCAAATAGATGCATACATTGAAAACCCTATATATTCCACTCAGAAAGCTGTCTTTTTTTTTTTTTTTAAGATTGGGGGCTCACTCTGTTGCTCAGGTGGAGTGCAGTGGTGCAATCATGACCCACTACAGCCTCAACCTCCCAGGCTCAGCCTCCAGAGAAGCTGGGACTACAGGCACGCACCACCCCACCCAGCTAATTTTTGTATTTTGGTAGAGACGGGGTTTCACCATGTTACCCAGGCTGGTCTCAAGGTCCGGGGCTCAAGCGACCTGCCCACCTCAGCCTCCCAAAGTGCTCAGATTAGAGGCGTGAGCCACCATGCCTAGCCATGAATTGATTTTTAAGCAGTTGCCTTCTGCTACTCATGTTTTTATTCTTTTCCTCTGCACTGAAAAGTTAATTTTCTATTTTTGAAAACATTTTTTTAAAAAATATTTTAGGAATCTCCATTCAAAAAGCTTTAGCCTGGGGACTCCTTTCCTTACCTACCTTTACCAGACAACTCATCAACTCAAAAAGTAAATAAGCATCCTGCATACCAGTGCGGGAGAGTTTTCCACTGCTCACTTTGGAAGGACTATCACCCAGGTGCTGCTGGAAACCGCAAACTGTTTCCCATTGTGTAGGCTCATTCAAAGTCCTCTGGGTGTCGTAACTCGGGCTCTGATGGATTTGTTTTTGCTCATTCGCTACCCTACTGATGGTAGCGTGTATTTGACTCCCACTGAGTGATATGCAGTCTCCATTACGAAGAAAGGTTAATTAATGGGCTCATGAACTCCCGATGACTTAGGGCATTCACAGAGAAAAAGAAGTATTATTATGGGGAGTATTGGGAGGAGCCAGTTATCAACCATCTCTTCTGAGGCCACAGCATGAGAAAAGAAAAATCACATAACCTTTGGCGTGGTGGGTTTCAGTTAGAAATCTTCCCAAGAAGAGTGGATACTGATTTCTTTCTGCCTTTAATTGAAATGTAAAAAACTAATAGGCCAGAGATGGTGAGTGGCTCCAATTACCCACTGTGGCGCACAAATGTGTGATCATGCCCCCGTCTGCTTGAGGACTGGCAGTAGTGACATCTGCCAAGGTGAGGTCCCAGACCAGAAGAATCATCTGTGAAAGCTGCCCAAAGAACACACTATAGGGATTAACTGAGGAAGAGATGCATAGGGACTTGGGAAAACAGCAGCAAGGCAGTGAGCCAACCCACTCATTCAGAATTCTTTTTTTTTTTTTTTTTTTTTTTTTTTTGGTCTTTTTTTTGTTGAGACAGAGTCTTGCTCTGTCGCCCAGGCTGGAATGCAGTGGTATGATCTCGGCTCACTGCAACCTCCACCTCCCAGGTTCAAATGATTCTCCTGCCTCAGCCTCCCAAGTACCTGGGATTACAGGCATGCACCACCATGCCCAGCTAATTTGCATTTTTAGTAGAGACAGGGTTTCGCCATGTTGGCCAGACTGGTCTCGAACTTCTGGCCTCAAGCCATCCACCCACCTCCGCCTCCCAAAGTGCTGGGATTACAGGCGTGAGCCACCACTCTGGGCCTCATTAATATTCTTTTTATTCCCCTATTGTCAGGGTTATTTTGTTTGTTTTAACTAGAGTGAGTATGTTTAATACACTTAAAGCTATAAGGAGTATTTTTCACAATAGATATTTAAAGAGAATCCTAGTTCCCTCCCATCTGATAGTAGCCAGGGTTTGTTTTGTTTGTTTGTGTAACTAGAATGTGCCCAGCCTGTTTTTATCATAATTTACCTTCTATATTCCCAGAAAATCCACATACATATATTTGTACATTGCTTTTTCATAGATGTGTTCACACAAGGGAGTAAAAATTAACTAACAAGTGCATTTTTTTTTCTTTTTTTTTTTTTTTTGAGGAGTCTCACTCTGTCGCCAGGCTGGAGTGCAGTGGCGTGATCTCGGCTCACTGTAACCTCCGCCTCCCAGGTTCAAGCAATTCTCTGCCTCAGCCTCCTGAGTAGCTGGGATTACAGGCGCCCGACCACCATGCCTGACTAATTTTTGTATTTTTAGTAGAGACAGGGTTTCACCATCTTAGCCAGGCTGGCCTTGAACTCCTGACCTAGTGATCCACCCACCTCGGCCTCCCAAAGTGCTGGGATTACAGGTGTGAGCCACCGCGCCTGGCCAACAAGTGCATTCTTACAGCATTTGTTACAAACCTATAATCCGTATCCTCTGAAAAAGTCAAGCATTATGACAAAACAACTAGTCAATCAACAGATCTTCATGTAACACTGTAAACCATAATGCAGCCAGAGACAGATACACCCCAAAACTCTAACAGCTATACTTCAGAACAGCAGAATGAACTAGAATTCAGGGGTCTGAATTTGAATGGGGAAAAAATGTAACATCTTTATGGCTGTGATGTAGCATTTCCTTCCCTATTGTTTGTTTTGAGATAGGATCTCATTCTGTCGCCCAGACTGGAGTACAGTGGCACAATCACAGCCCACTGCAGCCTCCACCTCCCAGGCTCAAGCAATCCTCCCACCTCAGCCTCCCCAGTAGACAGGACCACAGGCACACCACCACACCACACCACGCTAATTTTTTATTTTTTGTAGATACGAAGTCTTGCCACATTGTCCAGGCTGGTTTCGAACTCCTGGGCTCAAGTGATCATCTCACCTCAGCCTCCTAATGTGTTGGGATTACAGGCATGAGCCACTGTGAGTGGCTTTTTTTTTTTCCTAGCCACTAGACCTCCAGGGAAATATCTGTGTCACCAATCACAGATATTTTAATATGACATGACAGTTTCTACAAATATTCACAATAGCATTTATGCTTCTCACTGCATCAAAATTATAGTAGTTATTAGATCTCCCACTGTCTTTGTATCACATGTAAATAAAGAGGCACATACATTGCTATAACCAAATGTGGTACCTTTTCTATACTTTAATAATTGCATTTCAGGCTGGGTGCAGTGGCTCATGGCTGTAATCCCAGCATTTTGGGAGGCCAAAGCGGGTGGATCACTTGAGGTTAGGAGTTCGAGACCAGCCTGGCTAACGTGGTGAAAACCCATCTCTACTAAAAATACAAAAATTAGCCAGGCATGGCAGCACACACCTGTAGTCCCAACTACTCGGGAGGCTGAGGCAGGAGAATCGCTTGAGCCAGGGAGGCAGAGGTGGCAGTGAGCCAAGGTCACGCCACTGCACTCCAGGTGTGCAACAAGAGCAAAATTCTGTCTCAAAGAAAAAAACAAGCATTTTACTATCATTGATTTGTTTTATAATCATAAGTGTTTTCATTTAGGCATTTAAAAAATATTCTAAGAAGGGATCCATGGGCTTCACCAGCTTGTCCAAGGGCATCCGAGGCACATAAAAGGTTAGAATCCCCTGGACTAGATGAGATGCTAACAGCCTAGGTTCTGGTTCTGTGGCAGCATTACCTAGTCTCCAATGTTGCTACCTCTACATCTGCACCTCAGTCCGTCTCTATAGGTCCCTGATCCAGGGTGCCTGGTGTGCCTATAATAGAGTCTTGGTCTGTATGTAATGGTAACACAGGCAGCAACTGCCACCAAAGTTTCCCCAGCCTGATTCAGAGGATGCACAAGAAGCTCTGGACATGGTGGAGTGCCTAAGCCTTGGTTAGCAACTCCACCCCCAAGCCAGCCCCTGAGCTCCCACCCCGCCCTGCTCTGAGGCCAGGCTTCTGCACATGGTTTTAGATGCTGCCCAGCAATGGAGTTCTCACCTGACCTGGGTCCTGCCCGTAGCTCACACAGGGCCACAGCTTGCATATTAGTGGTCAGACAGCATTGCTCACGGTAGGTGGGACGGAGTTGAATAGCCAGTGTACATTCCTGAAAGACCAGAGTCCGACCACTTGGCAACTGTGGGTAGAATGCTGCCTACGAGAGCACCATGTCCTAAACATACATGTACATAACCATGGAGTCAGTGGATTGTCCAGGGAACTGCTATTGATGAGTGCTGGGCCTTCCTAAAGGTCTTGGTAAAATGGTTGGTTTCTAGGACAAAAGG